AGAGGCTTCCAAGTCTGACCAGCCTGGGTCAAGTGTTGTGTGCAGCATAGGCTAGGAGGAGAAGGAGGCATGGACAGAGGCCAGTGCTGGCCAGGCCACCCAGGGCAGGTACGGCAGTGCACCTCTGCCCTCCCACATCCTCCCCACCAGGGACCAGCTCCTTCTCCTCTACGCAGGTTGTGGCTTCCGACCGTGGCACCCCTCCTCGGAAGAAGGACCACGTCCTGCAGGTGACCATCCTGGATGTCAACGACAACCCTCCGGTGATAGAGAGCTCCTTTGGATACAATGTCAGCGTGAATGAGGTGAGGGCAGCCGGGGCCTCCAGCCTGACGTCCTCTGTGGACAGTGGCCGTGAGCTGACCACAGGGCAGATGTCTCAATGTCTGCCTGGCGCACTGGTCCCTAGACCTTGGCGTGGGCACTGTGACTCATTCATAGTCATGCCCAAAATGTGTAGCCTGGGTGCTGGAACTCAATGTTTTGCAGTGAAGGGGAAAAGGAGAGGAGTGAAAAGGAAAACAAGAGAATGTCATTTCCCGGGACAAGGAGCCAAGGGTCAGCCTGGAAGGCCACTTCTTAAATCAGTGAATGTATTAGCTGGTCCTGAGCTTGGGTCACTGGGACTGGCATCTCTGCCAGGCATTGCTGGGCATCACACCAAGTGGGATGTTCGGGAAAGCAGGGGTATAGGGCAGAGTCCCGCCTTGGCAAGGGGATGTGCATATGTTCCTTCCCTGAACCTCAGTTTTCTCATCTGTGAATGGGGCAGTGCCAAAACTGAATGCACGGTTCAGGGAGTTGTCACAGCAGGACCCAGCACATAGTCTGTGCCCACCTCTGCCATCCTTGTCTGTCATGTACCTCGTCACCCTCCAGTAGACAGGAGCAGGTACTAGACTGTGCCCCAGAGGCCTGGAATCCAGAGTGACCGCTCTTCTGCTTTCCTGCAGAACGTGGGCGGCGGCACTGCTGTGGTCCAGGTGAGAGCTACTGACCGTGACATCGGGATCAACAGCGTCCTGTCCTACTACATCACCGAGGGCAACGAGGACCTTACTTTCCGCATGGACCGCATCAGCGGTGAGATCGCCACACGGCCCGCCCCACCCGACCGCGAGCGCCAGGGTTTCTACCACCTGGTGGTCACCGTGGAGGACGAGGGCACCCCCACGCTGTCGGTGAGTGCCGGGGGGCACAGGTGGGGGGCGTGGGTGGGGCTGCCCCGCCAGCTGTGTGAGGGGACTGACAGGGGAGCAGAATCCCACACAGTGGATGATCTCTTCAGTCTACCCTTGTGGAGGCTGCCGCGTGAGGACTGGTTCACCCATGTGCTTAGCCACCCCAAGCTCCCTTCTTCAGTGCCCTTGCTGTGGGTGGGGTGGAGGCTGAGCCTGCTATGGAGCCAACCCATGAGGTGGTCCTCAGGGAAGGGCGCCTGCAGCCTCACATCGTGTTGGTGCAACACTGTTGCAACAGGTCAGACTTGGAAGGGACAAAGGTCCGTGTTTCAAGGGATGCCTGAATAAGTAGGAGCACTGCGAAGGCCTGAGGCCAAGTGTCTATAAGGGTGGGGTGGTGGCCGTGTGGCAGCCGAGTGGTGGCCCTGTAGGGCCTGGTGAGCAGTTTGAATTTTGAGTTGGAACGCAATGAGCTGGCTGTGTGTTGATGAGCCAGTCAGAACCTGTCAGAATCTGAGCTTTGTCACCTGCAAAAGGCAAATAGCATCTACCAGAGTCATTTGGGGGACCCCATTAGCTCATGTGTATGGATGTGTTCGGCAAACCATGAGGAGGAGGATGTATCAGCTGTCTGTTGTCGCCGTCATGCTGTGCTACAAACCACATGCTGCCCGGAAGTGTGAAACAATGCTCGTTGGTTTCTCTGGAATTCTGCAGATTGGCAGTGCAGGACAGGCTCAGCAGGGTGGTTCTTCTGGTCTTAGCTGGGCTTTCTCCTTGGTGACCGGAATGCCAACTGGTGATGTGCTTCTGGGGATCGGCTCACCATCATGGGAGGAGATGGGCAGCTCCTCCAGAAGGAGAGCTAGGAGGGGAGAGAATAAGGGGCACACAAGGCCTGCAGGTCCCTTCTGCAGCTTCCCTTGGCCAAAGCAAGTCACAAGGAAGCATTGATTCAGGACACGGTGAGTTAGACTAAGGTTTACAGGCCTAAGTGGTACAGAACTGCAGAGTGTGGGGAGAAGGGAGATAAAGGTCAGACACAGAATTGCAGCCTGGGGACCCTGGGGACCTCAATTCTAAGTGAAGCCTCAGCTGTGCCTCTTTCCACCCTAACAGGTGACCTGTGGGTGCCTCCCCTTGGTCATGACCCTGTGGTGGAAGGAGTTGCAGCAGCTTGGGCTGGGCTGTTTGACTAGGGTGTCCCTGGCAAGGGGTAGGAATTGGGCCAGTAACCCCAGGAACTCCACCCAGCCCGTTCTGAGAGTCCAGGAAATAGGACCAGCTCAGGCACCCCTGGGCATCTTCAGTCCCCAGGCTTCTGGTGTCACAGTTGATAAATTCAGCCCTCCACACCTAGCAGGCTAAGCGGGAACACATATAACTTTCCGGCACAGGGTAAGGCAGGAAGGGTATCATTTATGGTGGTGACATGGAGGGACCCGGTGTTGGCATATGCCTTCCACGGCTGCACCCACCTTCAGGGTGAGGGTGAATTGTCTCAGTCATTCATCCATCAGCACTTAGAGATGTGTTTGGCTACAAGTAACAGACACCTCATTATGGCACCACAAATCAGAATGTATTTTCTCACATCAGACCTCTGGAATGAATTACAAATACTGATGTCAGGCTTAGTGATGTCAGAGTTCATGTCTTATGGTTGTACGACAGCTGCTAGAGCTCCAGCCATCATATCAGCATTCACTCAAGGCAGGAAGGTGACAAAAAGACAAAGAGCTGTGCCAGTTACTTCTGTCCCTTCATCGGGAAAGTGAAAGATTTCCCAGAACCAAATTCCAGAGTTCTTCCGTGTCTAATTGGCAGTTGGGGGTCACACGGGCATGCTGCCTACATGGGAAGTTGGAAAAAATGAGGAATAGACTTGTCACAATTGGCTCATGACCCAGGGCCAGATGTATCCCAGCTCCCAACAAGAGAAAGACTCTGTTAGTGAGGAAGAGGGAACAGGAAATATTGGGGGGCCTCTGACAGCACTGTTGCACTGCTTCTCCCATCCAGATGTAGGTGCCCCAACACCCCAATCCTACCCTTACCCCTACAGCCTGGGCTCCCCAGGGAGGCAGACATCAGAACACATCTGTTCTAGGACCCTAAGGTGTGGAGACCACATCAGGCTTCGTTTTACCCCAGAAGAATGGGAGTTAGAGACAGACAAACCCATGCTGGCCATCCAGAAAGATGGGTTGTGGCCCAAAGAGGCCCTGAAAAATGTGGGGTTGGTCCCATAACTAGAGTTTCCAGCTACTGGCCAGATCCTCTGCTGAGCTCCCTCCTCACACCCAGAGCCTGCTGACCCAGGCCTCCCTCAGGCAGGGCTCAGGGCTTGGGGGAGGTGGGCAGCATCTGCCTGCCTCGCCTTGGTCATCCCAGCGCTGCTGCCTGAGGCCTGAACACCCTTCCGTGGGCAGGATGTGGGATGGGGCTCTGAGGCCGGTGCCTGGGAAAGCACACTGTGGCCTCCTGCGCTGCCTCAGACTGTAACACAAACTCCGAACTATAACACAAGCAAACAGCACTAGGGGCCAAAGTAAAGAGATTCCTAGAAGGAAGATGTTACTCACAAGGAATATGTCCTCTCCTTACTGTGCCCATGCTTCATCAGTGTGGAGAAAGAAAATCTCCATCATGTGAGTTTTGCAGGAGACACTTGAGTGAAAAACTATAATGGTCACTGGATGCAGTTTGAGGAAGCAACACTCAGCTCTTTTTTCCTTCCTTCCTTCATTCATTGACTCATTCATTCATTCAGCCAGCATTCCCCAGGCACCTGAGGCACTGGAGAGGCGAAGACATCCTGGTCCTGGTTGGACGAAGGGCAGCTGAGTGGGGCGGAGGCCATGAGGAGGTTCATGCAGGGGCCTCCAGGCCGATGGGGCACTGAGAGGGGCTGGGAAGGCTTCCTGGAGGAGGTGGCTCCTGGCTAAGTCTCGTCAGACTTGAGTAGGTGTAGGGCAGAAGCTGACAAGCAGGGGCCCAACAACCAGTACCTGCCTCCAAGGAACCCTGGACCCTTGAAGATTTGCTTTCCCTGGCCCAGTCTTCCCCTCTGGGCAGTGAACCCTTAGAGGTCATGTGCATCCTCAAGGAGCAGGAGGAGACCAGAGCTAGGGGTTTCCCTGCCACTGGGCAGACTTCTCTGGATGGGTGTGAGAGGAAGGAGGGTCCTAACCCCTCCTGAAGCAGCTGGAGCCACCAGGCCAGCTCATGGGAAGCTCCTGTGGTCTAATGGGGTGGGAGCACCATGCTGCCTGCACAGGTCTGTCTAGAGAAATCCCACAGGCCTGCACCTGTCCTCTCATTGCCGCCTGCAGTGACCCTCCTGGTTCCAAGCCGGCCCATGCCGGGCAGGACCAGCCCTCCTGGGGGACGGGGACACGCAAGAATCATTCATCTGTTCATTCAACACCAAGAAGGCCTGAGCTAGAGGCAGAGATGAGTCGGCCCCAGGTCTGCCACCCTGAGCCTGCAGGCTGGGGGGCTGGCATGGGGGTGGGGAGAGTTGACACTCTGATGTGACAGAGTACAGGGAGCTCAAAGCCAGGAGTCAGGGAGCCATCACTTACATCCTTATCTTGCAAGACGAAGCCTGAGATTCTGTGGCCAAGAGCTTCCCAAAGCCCAGAAAAATCCTGTAACTGAGCCCCCACCCACCCTCTATTTTTTCCTCTGGCTCCTCTGCCTACTTTCCTGAGAGCCGGACATTCCTGCAGATAGCCCAGGCTGTCTCCACCCTGCGTCACCCTAGCATGAACAGCTGGGCTGCAAGAGGCATCCGGGCCAGCTCCAGGCCTGCCACACAATGGTGCACAATGCCCCTGGCCAGGGGAAGTCACTGCACTGCTCCGGCCTTCTAGTGAGCTCCAAGCCAAGGCAGGATGCCTGGACCCAGCGCGAGGTGTAAGCGGTCATCAAGGAGGCCCCTGCGGGAGGAAGGGCTGGCCCAGGGAGGAAGGACATGGAGGCAGCAGGGAGGCCAGAGCTGGGCCTCTCTGCAGGGGCTGGGGAGGGAAGGAGGGCCTGACACAGCCTCCCTGCCACATGAATTGAAGCCAGTAGGAAATGCAGTCCCAGATAACATACGCTGGCTTCTCAGGCTGCCAGGGACCTGCAGAGGTCATCTGTCCAGGCAGAAGAAAAGAAAAGCTTCCACTACTCACTGCTGGTACACAGAGCCCCTGCGGCGGCCCTGTGATAGTCTGTGATCTGGGAACGTGGTCCTGGGCAGCTCACCTCCTGTCTTAGCACAGAGACCTTCTGCGTTGTTCAGCCTTCTCCTGCTGCTCTTCCAACCCTGCTTCCCCTGGCTTGAGCTCATAGTTTCCCTGCCTGTGTGCACATAGAGTAGCCGGCCTTCTCACCGGCATGGGCAACCCAGAGCCTTGCCCTTACCCTGCTTCCAGTAGGACATCCTGCAGCTACTTGGAAAATGCAGATGTCTCAGATGTCTCAGATGTCTGAGTTCCTCCATGCGACCCTGGGACTCACTGGTCCCTGAGGGCTTCTCCCTTCCCCATCCCTTGATGCAAGCAGGCAAGCAAGCAGGGTGTGTGGGCACCGTGCCAACCAGAAGTCTTGTGGCTTCCTGGCCACCCAACAGGGAGTGATACGGAAGGAGACAGCATTCGTGAGAAAGCTTAGGCTAGGCAGGGCACAAATAGGAACACTTTTGTGTGGAAGGAGGTGGAACCATGAATTTAAGGGCAGAGACTTATCTCTTGGGGCTATGGTGTGTGTGTGCTGCAAGGCCTTGCCAGGTCCTGACCTATAAATGTCATTCAGAGAAGGGAAGGGATACAGGCAGATGAGATGCAGGAGACCCAAGCATTAACCCCACCATTCACTTGTTTTGAAAAACACAGGTCCTTCAGAACCTTAGTTTCCCAAAGCATTAAATGGGGAAAATAAAGGCTCCGAGGATTGAGGGCAGGGTAACACAGGTGAAAGAGTTTTGGAAGCCATACTGAAAGACGTGGCACACATACCACAACTTCCTTTCCTATGCCCAAGGCAGGCATTGCTAGCTGATCTCAGAACTTTCTCACTAAGCCATATTAATACCTCAGAATTCCTCTCAGTCTATATTTCAGGAGGCCGTACCTGTAGGTGAGAATTGAGAAATAAAACAAAACATCTTTCCCCCTGGCTTATACAAGCTTTGGGCATCCCTGCCATAGAGGAGATCCCACCAGGCCAGAGAAAGCTCCTAGGAACCTGAGAAGGTGGTCCTTGGTCAGAAGCAGCCCCGGCTGCTGTGAGTCATCCAGGAACAGAGCCTTGGCCCCCTGGCTCAGCCCATCACCCAGTGGCTACAGATCAGTTATCAGCTCTACACCCAAGTCCAAAGGCCAGGCTAGTATCGAGTCCCATCCTCCCAGCCCCATCCTCCCAGAAGGGAGACACATTTGCTGGGGTCGGGGGAGAAGGGACCATGCAAAGCAGGCGTGTCCAGACAGCCATCTCTGTGGGCTGGGACAGCCGCTCACTGGGCCAAATCTTTTTTCAAGAAAGCTTTGCACCCAGCGTCCTGGCAGACACCCCAGTTCCTCTTTCGCCTATTGTGGTTCCCTGAGCAATTCTTAGCCCAGCCCCAGGCACAGCCGGGTCAGCTGATGAGGGCTCTGGCTAACACCCAGAAAGCCATCCTCCAGCAAGCAGGGCTCAGGTGCCCAGGATGGGGGCAGTGCTAGCCCCTCAGGAGCATCCTCTGAGGAAGGCCAGGGGTCCTGAGGCGCTGTATGCAGGGGAGTTCTAGCCAGGCAGGAGTGAGGGCAGTCCTAGGGCTGGTCTTTTTGAGATGCAGTCCTAGGGGTCCTACACACCCATCCTAGGGCCCATCACCATCAGGCAGGGGCAGCCTGACCATCAGCAGCCACCAGGGGCCCCAGGGTATGTCTCACAGCCACTGCTGGGCTGGCAAACCTCTCCCAGGGGAGCCTCCAGTCCCTGCCCCTCAGTTTCTCCCCAGGACACCTTAACTGGATGTGAATGTCCAGAGCTGTATAAGACAGTCCCAATTCCTGATTCCTGTTCTAACAATGAGTGAGTTCCTAAAAGGCACAGAGGTTCTTCCCAGGCCCACCGATAGGGCCAGGAAACCAGTACCTGTAGAGTCTCCCTGTTAAACAGCACACTTCCTCCCGGCCCCCTGGACTCCCCCTGCTCCCTTGGAAACTGCATGTTCATGCCCCTGACTCTGTCCCACATCCCTCAGCCCACAACCACCAGGGATGGCATCTCAGAGGCCCTGCCCCCCTGGGTGACATGGAGAGCTGTTCCAACGACCTGCCCTTTCCCAGCAGCAGCAAGGAGGGTGTCCATAAGGTAGCAGCAGGCAGGGCCCATGGTCATGGATGGAGAGGGAGCCTGGAGCTCGGAGTAAATTTCACTGAAAACAGGAAACCATAAAGCCCAAGATACATTCACTTGCAAGGGTCAGAGAAGAAAAGACTACAGGAGGAAGCAGGGCAGGAAGTGTGGTGGCTGTTCCGCCAGGGGCCACCTCCCTTCTCCACATGACATCAGCCAGGCTCAGGGTCTGACAGCCAAATTCATAGAAACAATCTCTGCATCTGAGGTCTGGGGCCACACCACCCTCCCCAGGGAATAGGTCACACTCCTGAGCTGGGGGACCAGAGGTGGTCTGTGGCTTGTCCTCGGACCCCAGGGTTGCACAATCCTGCCACAAAATAGGTGTCACCTCCTCACTCCTGCCCAGAGGGCCTCCACAAGCTGGGAGAACAGCTCACTCTGTCTGTGGCGCAGCATGAAGTATCTGTGGCAGCAGGTGGAGTACAAGAAGGGTCTCGGGGGACAAAGCAGGAGCCAGGGTTTTGTGTCGCTCCTGCCACAAGGTCTGTGCTTTTTCTCTGCTCAAGGGCCCCAGCCGCAGGCACAGCAGGTGCCCCTCTCCATGGCCTAGGCCCGTGGGCCTGACCTGGGGGTGTGGCTGTGCAGCCCCACGCCGCTCCCCTTTTCCACCCCTTTCCTCCAGCCCTGGGCATGGCAAGCTTCTCCCCCTGCATGCTAGTGCTGAGTCCTGGCCCACAGTCCTGCTTTTAGCCTCTGCAGAGTCCAAAGAGGCAGGTGGGCCATGCATGCCCACACTGGAACTATACTCTCCAGGGATGGAGGGGAATTACCCCACCTCCCCAGCCTCTACCCCAGTTCTGTCCCATGCTTTAAACCCTTCCATGGCAGTTCCACAAAGGGCTCCCCTTTATGAGATATAAAAGCAAACCCAGGTCACGCCCTGCCGGGGGAGACACCTGCAAGGGGAACAAATGCTTCTCTGTCCTGGTATCAGCCCCCCACATGGGGCACACTGAGGTGATAGCTGAACAGAAGCCCAAAGGTGTGTGGGGGGAGAGGGATTCCCTGGTCTCTGCAAAGAACAGCGATAGATCTGTTGCCTCCAACTCATTTGCCGGCTTGCACCTGTTGCCGATGTAGTTTTTAATAGCACCCCTTTTAGCACTCAGAAGTGTCCTAGAATGGACAAGACGTTATGCAGTCACCCTTGCTATTGCCCATGCTGAGCCCTGGAGCAGGTGCTATGGAAGGAGGAACCTCTCCTCTCACCTTCCCAGCAGGCCCCACCCACCTCCTCCGTGCCATCTGCAGTAGGTGGCACAATCTCTGGCCTGGCCTCAAGTTGCCCAAGATGCCAGTTGGCTCACAGTGGGCCATTGGGCCCACTCTGTACTTCCTGCTTCAGGGCCTCTGGCCACTGAACTCTGGGGACTGGAATGCAGGCAGCAGGAGCCCCAGATACATAACCTGTAGCAGAGCGTCAAAGACTGCTAGAGGGAGGCAGCTCGAGGAGCCCCCGTGGCCAGGGACAGGGCAGCCAGGCCAATCCCAATGGGGAGGAATCTCTCCACATCTAGTCCCATGTCTTATGCTTGGGAGAGTGGCACTGGGGGTCCTGCCCAGTGCCTTCCTTGTCCTCTCTGTGCTGCCAGGTCCCAAGACTCCTGTCCCAGGGTGAGAGGTTGCTGTAGAGCTGGAAATCTGGAGACTTCTTGGGCTAAAGGTCATTTGGCATCTGCAGCTGGCAAAGTTCTGGTCCTAAGGGGACTGAGCACCCCAGCATCCTTGGGGCAGGGGTGAGCGATCCAGCATCTTCTCCCTTCCCCCGTGTAGCATCCAAAAGGTAGAAAGTCCAGGCAGTGGGGCTAAAGCAGAGTCTGGGCTCAGAGCAGGAGCGTGGAGGCCAAACAAAGGCCGAGGCCAGGGAAGCCAGTCACAGGGCCGCCCGGCCAGCCTTGCCCACTGTCCCCCAAGCTGGCTTACATAACCTCAGAATGTGGGGAGTCGGGGACAGGCTCTGCAAAAGAAAGGAGAGGCAAAGTGAGCAGGGGGCCCTGCACCAAGAGTCTGTGCGGACTCCCTGAGGAGGATGCCCTGCAGACCTTGGGGTCGTGACCTTGCGGGTCAGGGTTGCAGAAATACCGCCCGGCCAGCCTTGCCCACTGTCCCCCAAGCTGGCTTACATAACCTCAGAATGTGGGGAGTCGGGGACAGGCTCTGCAAAAGAAAGGAGAGGCAAAGTGAGCAGGGGGCCCTGCACCAAGAGTCTGTGCGGACTCCCTGAGGAGGATGCCCTGCAGACCTTGGGGTCGTGACCTTGCGGGTCAGGGTTGCAGAAATACTCACCCAGGGATGGAAAAAAGACACACTCACCCAGGGATGGAAAGAAGACGTCCCCAGGCCCCGGAGGAGACAGAGGAGTGTTGGGCTCAGACAGCAGGTGCCGCCCAGACTCGGAAGGCTGTCGCTGGGCCATGTAGGTCAGAGGGGGCCTGGCCTTGGCCTCGGGCATCCCCTGGGGAAGTGCAGAGGCCTCAAAGCCAGGGTTTTCAATTCCCTGGGTGATGGCACTAGAGAAGCAGAACGGAGAGTCACGTGTGCTGCTGGGATGGAGTGAAGCTACCGCCCTCCGGTCTTGCCTCCCTCCCCTTTTCCCCTGCTGTCCCCTCATCCCAGGGGGCAAAGGTGTGAGCTGCACTCTGCCCCTAGGTGCTCAGGGGAGCTCGGGGCACCGGGGCAGATGCCAGCCCGGCTGCCTTTCCTCCCATGCTGTGACCATCAGCACACATCAGAGGCTCGCCCCGAACACCAGCCTCGGAAGCTTAGAGCCAAGGGTAATGACGTCAGGGGTGAGTGCCCTAGAGCTCTTTGAGCTGAGTGCCTGGGTTCTCTTCTCTTCCCACCTGAGAAGGGGCAACCTGGGAAGGACCCCTCAACTCAGATTCCAGCAGGATTGCTGGCGAAACTTGCTTTGACCTGGGTCTTAGAAATCTTCCTGTTCATACATACAGAGAAGCTCTGGACTCCTTGCTGCAGGACAGAGGCCGAGGTCTGAGTGTAGCTCATTTCTGAGCTCATTCCGCAGCCAGCTGCCAGCCCAGAGTAGAGAATCCACATTCCCCCACCCTCCCCGTGCCGGACCTGCTACCTGTGCTGGTGCCTTCCAGCATCTGCCCTCCTGCCTGGAGGTCCTGTGGGTGGAGCCGCCCCTCCAGCTGGGGCTGGGTTGCTGGGCCCCCTCTGAGTAGTTCAGTGCCTGCCCATCCTCACCCAGTGGCAAGTGCTAGGTGGCTGAACAGGGGCCCTGCTACACAGAAATATCCCCTGGCTGCTGCTGGGCCTGGCAGGTGTATCTCTGTGGGCCTTACCTGTCCATCCGCACCAGCTCCTGGGCACCTAGGGACAGACAGAGAAGCTGGTCACAGGAAGGAAGGTCCCCGAACCCTGCTAGCAGAGGCCTGTCGGGGAGCAGGAGCCCATCCAGCAGGCCCTGCCCAGATGGGGACTCCCCTGCTGGTGGCCGCTAGTGAGTGGCCTACTTTGTGAACAAATGAAATTCAACCTGTATTTTCCAAGTGCATGCAATAAGCCAACGGCAGCTCACACTTTCTCCCATGGCTCACATAACACAGGCAGACCCTTAGCATTTACAGTCAACCAAAGGCCAGGATCCTGAATTGCGAACTGTGGTTTCCTGTTTGGACCCTTGCCCAGTTCTGGACTTCAGCCATGACTTAAGGGTAGGGTTTCAAGGTCATTTCCTAGAGGGTTCTTTCTGCCCCGGCCTCCATCCTACCTAAAAGAGGTGACATCTCTCAAGGAGCCTTAGGGGACCGAGCTTAGGGGTCACTTCCCAGCTGTCCCATTCTTTCTGCTCATTCATGCTAGGGTGGCCTTGCCTCCCCCTTGGGGTTCCCCACCCCCCAAGCTGGCCACCAGCAGATGCAGGGGCCCCTAACTTCCCTCTTTCTTGCAGCTCTACGAGTCTTCCTCCTGCAGACCTTTCTCACTTTAAGGAGCTTCGATGCCAGCGCTGAGGGCAGATGGGGAAATGGGCTGGGGGGAGGCACTGTAAAGCACGAACTCAGGGAAGTTACACCCTGAGTTCCTGAAATCTATTAGAACTGTGGCTCCTGTTTACAGGGGCTGTTCCATGTCAGGCTTCATGTGCTGTGCAATGTGTGTTTGTTCATCTCAGCCTCTCCACCAAGGTCTTGGGTCCCACTTTGGAGCGAGAGAAACTGAGCCACAATCTAAAGTTGGAGAGAAGTCCAGGCCCAGCGTACTGCCTCCCTCCATGCCCCCAGCCCCTTCTTTTCCTTTTGCCCCAAGGGTGGCTCATTCCTGAGCATCTCTTCCAGGCCAGGACCCTAGCACCTTCCTGCCAGAGCACAGCTCACTCCTCCCTGTCTAGAGGTGCTTGGTGTGTGTGTGTGTGTGTGTGTGTGTGTGTGTGTGTGTGTGTGTGGTACTGAGATTGAACTCAGGACCTTCCACTTGCAAAGCAGGCAGCAGCACCACTGAGCTAAATCCCCAGCCCACCATACACCTCCCTGACCTGCCACCCACCCTACCCACCTCTGCCTGCACTCTGGGACTAGTGTTGGAGCTCTTTCTGGTCCCGAGCCCCAGGGGCAGCTGCTTCTCTAGAACCTGCTGGAGAGAGATGGCCCCAGGCTCCCCTCCCTCTTGGTTTTGCACATGGCGTCTTGCATTTCATGTCTGTCTCAAGTCTGAAATCAGATGATAATCTTTTATTCTTTTTAAATTCTCTTTGGGAGGAGGAGAGGGGACTGATCCCAAAAGCATTTTTGCAAGAAGATAAATGATTGTTCCCACTCTGTTACTGCACACACTGCATAAGGGGCAAGGGCTAGAGAAGTGACTGGTGGCTCCAGAACAGTATCACTCAGAGTTCCAGGGATACATGGAACTCAGGGCAAGGTGCACCCCTAATCGCACTGCACCACACACTCCCCTCAGTCCAATTCTGTATCTTCCTGGGGCAGACTGGCACCCTGGCAGCCAGCATGTAGTCTGAAGGTGTCCTGGTGCTGGAGTAGGACCCACCCCGCCCCCATGTCCTCAGGACACCCTCTAGGGTTCTTAGCCAGGGATTTCCCCTCTGGCTTTCCTTCCTCCGCCATCCCCCTTCCCCACAAGAGCCATTGGTTCAGTAGAACCAGGAAGGAGACAGAGGAGACACAGACACAGACACAGACACAGACACACACACACACACACACACGCACACGCACACGCACGCACGCACGCACATGCGCACACGGCATCCTCCACCCAGTAAGTGTTTGTTTTCCAGTTCCTGTTCCCTGTTCTGACCACATGATGAGGCAGTGCCGTGGTTTCCAATGAAGGGCACAGAAAGCACCTCTGACACTGGGAGCTGGGAATGAGGGGGTGGCAGCTCGTACTCTGCCAGCCTTTGAAGAGCAGCAGCTCCCGGCAACCTGGGTGTTAGGCCCCTGACTTCCTCTTCTGCTCTCACTCCAACACTTGTCCCCCTGCCACCTTCAGGACTCCTGTGGGTGGGCTGTGGGGTATGTGAGAGGAATTGGGCAGCTCTGAAAGCAAGAGGGAGGAGACTGCAAGCCCTGACGGACCCACTGTAGGGCTCTAGCCAGGGCCTCAGAGAGGTCAAGGAAATCAGGGGTGTTCAGGGGACAGCATCATCCCCTGCTTCCCCCACACAGCCAGGAAGAGGCCACCAGGGCACAGGGCTCTCACCCTCCTGCCCCGAGCAGACTCAGGCTTTCAGGCAGGGTTAGAGGAGGGGTACCATCATCCAGAAGGAGGGTGTAAAAGCCGTTTGTGGCTAGGATCTTGAAGCCTGGCTTCACCACTTATTTGCTGTATGGTTTCTTATTTTGTTTTTGTTTGTTTTGTTTTGTTTTGTTTTTTGAGACAGGGTCTCATTATGTAGTTCAAACCGGTCTTGAACTCACTGTGTGGCCCAGGCTGGCCTCAAACTTAGAGCAATCCTCCTGCCTCAGCCTCCCAAGTACTGGGATCACAGGCAGTTCCACCACGCTTGGCTGCTGTATGGTTTCTCAGGCAAGTTATAAAATGTCTCTGAGCCTCAGTGTACTCATCTGTAAAAGGGAATAATGGTGGAACCAAGTTCTGGGGGTTGTGCTGAGTTCTAAATGAGCAAATGCAGGTGATCATCTTAGCGTAGAGCCTGGCACGGTAGCCCCATCCGCTAGGGCCTGGAGGCCAGTGAACTATATAATTGTTGTTATACGGTGACACTGCATCCCCCAGACAGAGCGAGGGTGGGAAGCTGGCAGGCAGTTACACAACATTCATTTAGTTATTAGCTTGCTGATTTTAAAAAGGGGCTGAATGAAGTTATCTCCAAGACCCCCTCCTATTTCCAATATACCAAAAGTCATTTTTTAAAATTTTTATTTATTTATCTATTTTTGAGACAGCATCTCACTGTAGTTCATGCTAGCCTTGAACCCACTATGTATCCCAGACTGGCCTTGAATCCGCAGTGATCCTCCTGCATCAGCCTCCCAAATCTGCCATTTCAGACATGAGCCTTTGCACTTGTCCAAAAATCATGTTTTTGTCCCTGTCCTTGCTACTAATTACAAAACAAATGCACCCACACATGAAAGCAGGTCCCCAACGGATCTCTGAGGAGCAGCATTTCTATAAATCAATGTGAGTTATTCCTATCACAACATGTGATTAGTCATTAATTCAACAGGGACTTTTTCTTGATTAAGTGCCAAGCCAGCACTGCCTGGGAGCCAAAGTGGTTGGCAGGCACTAAGCCTGTTCTCACTCCTTGAAGGCAATGTAGGGAGCAGCAGAGATCCAGGGCCTGGGCAGAATGGGTTATACACACACACACACACACACACACACACACACACACACACACACAC